ATGTTCAAAATCAGATGGAAGGAACTAAACCTGCAAGTATGGTGGAAACTCTACAGCATTTTTAAAAAAAAACTACTGTCAAGTTATCTTGTGGACTTGATGCGAAACATTCCCTTTGGATACTCAGAAGTATCCAATTGTGTTCATACTAACAAAACAAGTGGGTCTAAATGACTAGCAAATTTGATATTTGTTTTTTAATCTGCTAGTTTTTCAGTTGAATCTCGTAACGCAGAGTTATCAATCAAACGAGCAACAACTAAATTTATAAAGTAATTTAAAAAAAAATGATTCATCAAATTTGATCAACAAGGAAATTTGAGAAATTAAGGGTTGAAGAACCAACCATGAAGAAATAAAATATTATGCCATAAACTTATGGGTGTGAAGGTATGAAACTCAAACGGCGACGGCCAAAGCTTAAGTCAATTCTAATTAGTCTTTTATTTGCACCTCTTATTTCAAGGTACTGGCTTTATTGGTTTTTGCAAATTAAAAAAAGTCAGAAATCTTGTAGGTTTGTTCAATGAAAAAAGTTATCTTCGGAAAAAAAACGCGATCCAGTGCTACTTTTCCGGCTTTTATGATGATCCAAGTACCTGTCAAGTTATCAAGAAAACGTTCAATGGGAGCTTTCGAAGTCGCTTTTTTTAACCGAGAAGCGCAGAGTAGCAAATATTGGTCTGCATGATAATGTCACAATTAACGAAGACTTTGATGGCATAACTATCAAACGTCGAAAAACTTTTTGTCATTTTACTGATTTTCCCAACTGCTTTCCTGTACGTTTTGTCTACTTTTTTTTTCTTACCTATCCATTCTGGAGAGAAAGTGTCTGATGCAGTCACTCTGCTGCTTGCGCAAATTGTCTACTTTGGAACTCTGGGCAACCTTTTTCCTCCAAAAATTTACCTATACTTTGTTGTAGGTGTCACTGTTCACATGAACATCAAATGTATACTTGTCATTTTATGTATCTAAGCTAAATTTGATTCAAGTTGCATTATTTTGACAAGTTAATAACATAAAATAGCACTTTTGCTATGCGAAAAAAAATACTAGTAAAAAATTCACAGCTTGGATTATTGGATTTAAAAAAAAACATTCAAAGAAATCATTTTTCCTACTTCAAATTCATTTTTCAACTGCGATCAGTAACGGAAAATGAATCAGCTCAGATAAAAAAACTCTGACAAATTTAATTTAATCGGGAGAAAAATCTATTTTCCAGTCTAAATTTAAATTTAGCTCTAACTTTATGATATTAACTCCCTATTTCCGCCAATTTGTTCAGTAAGTCAAAATCTGTCAACTTTTTTTGCGACAGTTTTCATAAATGAAGTACGAATTTAGAAGTAAATTCAGCTTCAGCTTCCTAGCGCGCAGATGAAGCTTGTTGCCGAAAAATCTGTTGCAGGTCAATTTGCCCTCATATTTGGTTTGAAACGCCGTCTTATAAAATGACGCAAAAAGATAAACATCAACTAATCAACCGGAAGGAGCAACTCATTGATTGAGCAAAGCGCAGAAACCAAAGCTTAGGGATAAAACCAAAAAAAAACATGGCTATGGTTTTGATCAAAAGTGGAACACCTTTACTTTACTTGTAGGCAGAGTTCTTCTGATGTTCTATTGTGCTGATAAACTTCGTGTGGCTTTTTGACTTTTATGAAGCTTCATATGTTGGTTAAAAATCAACTTATTATTGGTAACGGCTGTTTCCGTACAGATTTTTTGATTCACGGGCTTGGGTTTATTGTTATTTTGGCTCCTTATTTCAAACAGTTAACTGACATTTTTTGTTTCATTTCCCCATTTTTATCATCATTATAACTGATGTTTTCTGATTTTACTGTGTACTAAATTTTTTGAGAACTAAATTCCCGAGTCCAATTCATCACCATTTAACCTAAATAAGGCAAACATATTCACTAAAGTTTAAACACAAAAAGTAAGATTTTTTGCCGAGATGAGGGTAGTGGTAAAACGCTGCACATTTTGTGCAGCAACGGGTACACTTGGTATAAAAAAAATGATTTTTGTTGAGTAACGTACTAATACTATTTTCACGAATCAACAAATAGTAAGGTTTGTATTTACAAAATCTCAGCTGGCAGTAGAAATTTTTTGACGTGATAAGAACAAAAGTAAAATTAATTGAACGTTTTAACAAAACTTATTTCAAGCCACTCAGTCTTTATAGAAGACGAACTTCCAAAAGAAATGTCATAAGATTAGTTTTGCTTTGGTCACGCATAATTTCAAGTTTTAGCTAGTACACATTACATCTGATTGATTTTAAAAAATCGAATGACCGACAAACTTTAAATTGAGGAAAGCATTTGTTCCAATAAAATTTTTTTGAGATTTGTTCGAAAAAAAAAAAATTTTTATAAATATGTCACCAAGAATCGCAAGAAATATGCATTAACTTTATTTTAAAAATTTTGCCGAAATGAGGGTAGCGGTAACACACGGTGCTGTTTTTTTTCTTAAGCAACAAGTACAACTGTTTTCTAAACAATTTTGCTGGTGGTAGAGTTGCCTATTACTACAATCACCACAAATCAACAAATCGTAAGTTAAGCTGCTTTTTCTTCATAAAGAACGAATTTTCAAAAATTTAAATCGAGGTTTAAAACATAATCGACAACATGTAAATCGAGAAAAATATTTGATCCAATAAAAATACTATAGGAAAAAAATTCGAAAATCCGTTTACCTAAATAGGTCAACAAGAAATGCAATAGCTTTGCATTAAGCTTCTCAGGGTATGTGCTGCTAGCAAAAACAAAAACATATTGTCATTTAATTTGCATAATATACAGACATATTGTCAATAACACATACACAAGTTTTGCCCACAAACAAAAACTGAATCGACGATCAATTATAAATAAAGAGTTTTACGAAGAAATTGCAACGATTTCAGAGGAATAACAAGAGTGATCAGTTAGTTCAAGATTTTTGCTTTCGCCTAATTGTAAAACTGTTTCTGTTGTAACTTTATACTTAGCTGCCCTGACGATAAGCCCATTTGAAAGGGCCGTGGTTGGTCGAGATGCATGTCTACTGTTGGACAAGTTATTTTCCCAGCAGTTTTTATGGGTGATAATTTAGCTCATTACTTGTTCGTAATGAACCAATTCTTGAGCAGGTGTCAAGTTTGACTGCCTTTTATTCTGAAAAACTTAAAAAGAATGGTGGCAGCTCTTGAGAGCTACGATGAGAGTTTCAACTTGCCAACTGTATACGATTCCAACTGATGCTCATAATGGATGCTGACTTTTGGTTTTGATTGAGGAATGATTGACGTTTTTAATACTAATTAATTAATGCTAGTAATCAATGACACAGAAGCGAAGCTTCCCATAGCAAACAATAGCGAGAACACAAAAAAGCAGCTCTATAAAGTGCAATAAAAAATAGAAATAAGCCTCCAGTTGGCAAAAATTCGGCAACGTCTGAATTTCCAACCTGCAGCCTAGATTACACAGAGGCAAAGCTGTGCTTCGCAAACATATGCGAGAACACGATCAAAGAGCAGCTCTATCAAGTGAAGTAATAAATTAGAAATAGGCCTCGTAGTAGCAAAACTCGGCTACGTGCCGGATTCGAATCTGCGACCTAGCCAGTTTGAGTCTCATGCACTAACCACTCAGCCACGGATGCTTGAATTACCCAAAAGCCAGCCACCAAAAACGCAGCTACATATGCTAATAAATTGCCAAGTCGATGCAGCAAAAGTAGCAAACACAATTTTGCATGTAAAAAATGGAAAGCATAAAGCCAAATTACGTATAAATCTTGCATTTACAAAAACAGCGCGATACATTGAGTTGGAAAAGTTCTGAAATCGAGCTTTTTATCGTCGTACTGCTGTCTAAAACATAACTTTTTCGCTTCATTTGATGAAATAAAAATACATCAACTGTGCTAATTTTTACTTATCCAATCTGAAAGCACATGAAATTATACTGTTACGCAGCCTACCGATTCAAAAAAGCCGCCATAAGTAGCTCTTTTATTTGCGACTTAGGTTGGAAAAAAAATTCATACCAATACACTTTGCTTCGCAAGTGTAAAAGAGTCTCACACACTAACCACTCAGCCACGGTAGCATACAATAGCCACAAATAAAGCAGAGAACAGATGCTATGCAATTTCCAATGCTACAGTGAAACTTCCAATGACTATTTTTTCAGATTGAGAAGAGCACGTATACTTTCAGCACCCACTAATTTATGCTTGCTTGCAAGAGCTCACCTTGCAAATTGCATCATATGACATCTCAGAAAATTGCAAAAAAGTTTCAACTTGTTTTTTATATGTAATTTTATCAAACTAATTATACAGGTGTTCAAACTCTAACCACCTCATCAAGAGTCACGGGCCCTAACCCGAATCGTAGTATTTTAATTTTTTTATTAGATAACGATCAGCAAAGAGGGCCTAAATTTTCTTGTAGCATTAAAAGTAAAAAATGAGTCTTTTAGCAGACCAACGTCATAAAACTAACGCATAAATGATTGTCAGACGTGAAAAGACGCTCAGTCTTGGGTCAAACTTCACTAAATAACATATAATTATCTCACTATTTGCCAAGACAACTATCATCTTCAAAAACATAATGATAAAAAAATGGCGGCAAAACATTTACGCGCTCAATAACAATCTTTGAGAAGATCTTTTGAGAGAACTTTGAGTATTTCATTTGTGGTAAAATTTACCGATATTTTTCTAATTTTCAGTTTTGTCTCAGCAAAGTCTCTCACAGTGTGGTCTCAGCCCTTGGTGAAGATGACAATTTTGGTCTTTAATTTGAAATACTGTTCGTTTTCTGGACGATTTCATCAGAATTTAACAAAAAAACTCATCTCTCGGATTAATTTATTTCCTCTATTTTCTCAGAATATAGTTGTAACTACATAAAAAATTGTTATTTAACTAAATCCGAGGCCTGTTTATAACACTAATCGCTTGTGCAGACAAAAGAAAACTGAATAAAGAATTAAATTGAATTGAGCTTTGTAGGCGACAAACTGATAATATTTAAATTAATGAGAGTAGGCATCGCATTGGGCGGAATCTATCGATCGAATTGCATTCTGAGAGAGAAGAAACGAATTGAGCTGAGATGATACAACGAGAGATGAGATGAGGAAGCGTACCCTTCCTTTAGTCAGATTGAGTCGGGACAAAAAGTTCACACGTCAACTGACTCAGGAAGGATATCAGTACAAAAGTAACTTTTTTCTCCAATTGATTTCTTAGACGAGCTAGCACTCGGATTTAGTTGAACCGAATTCAGAATTAAGTGGCGGCAAACGAGTTCCAGTTTTAAATCGATTGACTAGTTTTGTTTCTTTCCAAGTTGTAAGTTAGTTCTCGATGAAAAAAATTACATCATAAACAACCGCATCAATTTAACCTTCTCAGGGTTTTGAAATTGTTTTAGGCAAATAGATCAGCTTTTCGTGCACATTACAAGAGAACCAGAGGCATTATAAGCGTGACTTCCCACAAATGGAAACGGTCTATCTTGTTGAGTAAACCTCATGAACTTTGAGATGCATGTTAATTTGATTGAAACAAGTCGTGTGGCTAGGCTATTCGTTTGAAGCTTCGCTACTAAGTAAAAGTTTCACTGAAACCCGTTTGTCTAGTTTACTCTAAATCTAAATAAAGATCTGACGGCCATTATTCAATAAAAGTCATTTGAAATCGTAATCTCTACAATATAAACTTATTCAAAACACATCGAGCACAATCAGCACCCAAAAGAGTGAAATATTAACTTCATCACATCTTATTGTGTCTTCATTTTGCATTCCAGAGCGTTATTATACTTGGTTTTGGTATAATGCTTTGACTAACTGCCGCATTTGAACTTACCATGGCTTGCAGGCCAATAACCGGAATGCAAAAGTAGGACTAACTGAAAAATATAATTCCATTTTATTAATCAAACTGGGAACATTCGATGAAAATTAGTAAGAAGATGTATTCATTGTATAGAAAATTATATAATTCGCTTTTTGAAAACAAAAATCTCTAGCCTGAGTTTAGAAGAAATTCAGAATTTATTTACTAAGTCTTTTTGTTCAACTTCTATCGCCGACAGAACGGAGCCTTGCTTTTTGAATGACTGCATTAGGATTGGGTTTTGTGTGCAAAGAGGGATTGATGGTAGGGTAGTGGGCGTGTTGCAACTAATAACAAGTGTACCCTTGTCATAGTCAGTCTATCCTGGCACTCATCTGCTGAGATATGGAATTGGAGGTCATGTTCGACTGGTTGTGGTTGCCCTGTTAACAGTGGAAAAAAAATAAAATTAAGGATAGAAAAAATTAGGACCATCAAACTCGAAAAGCTATTTAAGCAGTTCATTGCAGGTTAAAAAAATTCCGAAAAGCTGGGCAAAAATTGTTGTCCCAGTAATGAGCAGAAGTGTGCGAAGAAGTGACTGCAGTCCAAATGTTAACAATAAACGATTCTCAATGATATTTTTGAATGATTGTCATTGACATATAATTGACAGCATTTTGACTTTTGCAATGCCCGTGAAACATCACAAAAGATGGCAATTGTGATTAATGTTTATTTCGCACCATTTAATACTCATTGGTAGTTTTGCTGAAAAAAATAAGTGAACAGTTGGCAAAGTATAAATGAACTCAAAGCTACCGGGAAAAAGAAAAGTTTCAACATTCGAAATCAAAAAAAAAATAGATAACCTGAAAGTTCTTTAAACTCAAGGAATCTTTTATGAATGACACGTTTTTTGACAGTAACTATTCGAGAAAACCAGATCAATTAGCAACTTTTTTTCCTGAGAAGAATTCTGAAAAATAAATTGCAGATTTAGGTTGGAACAGACAGTTGCAACAGACAGTTGGAAAAGATTCAATAAACGCAAGTAAACAAAAAGGCTGCCCTTAAGGCTCTTTGTATTTCCAGAAAAATTTATGATTGACACTTTTTTGATCAATTTAACACAATTTGAGTAAACTGGATCAATAAGTAAAGTTTTAATTTCGCTGGGAAAACTGAAAATCAAGCTCCACTTTTGAAATTAGAAGTCGATCACATTTCTAGTGATCTTTCCACTTTTCTGTTCGATAGTGGAGTTTGTCTTTCTTTAAGAAAAGAAATAACTGAACTTGAAAGAAAACATAGCCAACTAACAGCTGGAAAAGAGTAATGAACACAAGGAAACTGAAAAAAAAAAAACTGAATTGTTTTTTCAAGAACCTTCAACTTTTGAATTTCGAAAAAATAGATGACCTTAAAGCTTTTTGATTTTGTAGAACAATTTATGATGGACAATTTTTGTTGTTAAAATTAAGCCAATTTGAAATTTGACGAAAAAGTAAACTTGAGCCTGAACAAATTTTCAGACTTTTCCTGAAAAAAAAATCATCGGGCGAAGAGTCTGAACTACGTTCATCTACTCTTAAAAACAAAACATTTACACCAAAGGGAATCAAATATAGCCAATCGAAACTCTACAGCTTTGGAGTCTACTGCCATAGTAGTTGAGCTATATGCTCAATCTGTCGATCAAAATTAAGCCAAATAATATATTGGTAGGTATTTACCAGAATCCAGCTATTACATCACAGACATTACACTTGGCACTTTTGAGAAAGTGCCACTAATTTATGCGACTTAACTTAAAACAATAAGTGGACTTGTAGTACATTACAGGCATTTTCTTGTGTAAACACTACCGCAGATGGTTGCAAACGTGTAAAAGAATAAGAAAACCAAAAAAAAAATGATCGAAAAAGTTTAGAACATTTTTCTATTTTCGATGAAAAAATGTGGCTCGTTAAAGCGCTTTAAATTTCATAAATTGTTTAAGATTGGCACTTCTTTAAATTTATCTCATTTAGAAACAATGATACATATATTTTTTTAATTCTGCAGATAATCCAGAATGATAAAGTCCATTTTTTAAAATAGGAGTCATTCACGTTTTTCGTGTTCTTTCCACTTTTGCTGTTCAACAGAGGCGTTTAACTTATTTTCAACAAATGAGCTTAAAAAGAAATCAAAAATTAAACCGCGAAAAAAAAACAATTTTGGAGACTTTTCTTAAAATAAAAACACAAAAATCATCACGACCTTTATAAGTCTGCACTAGTTCAATGACTCTTCAAAAAGGGGAAGTCAGCCGACATAAATTAAGACAAAAACCACAAATACGAAAAAGTAAAATATTATCTCAAATGAACTAAGATGTAGTTTTTTTTGATTTTTCAAAAAGTTGAGCATGTCAGCAGAATTTGAAAATGTTAGCAGGAAAAAAGTAAGTTCAGTTCCAAAATCCAAAACGCTTGCTCTTGCAAATGAAAAAATCAAATTAAAAAAATGAAATACAACACAAACACCGTTTGCGATACAACACAAACAAAAAAAACTAGGTGAACAAAAAAATTCTGACAGACAGAATCAACTATAATCGCGTGCAAATTTCAAATTTAAGGAAACCTTGTGGGATAAAATCTGTCTGAAAAATTTGCTTGCAGAATTCTACTGAAATGGGTACTCGTTCGATTCTCGCCACGCGTAGAAAAGCGTTGAAGTTGTCCTAACAATAATTGAAGTTCAGAGAGGAGAGTCTTAGAAGGAGTTGATGAAAAAAAAAATTACAAAATTCTGCCTGTTCAAACTCTTTCTGCAACTCTCTATTCACGAGTATATTGAGACTACCTGATGAGGGGACATGTGGTCGTCGTTGTAGCTGCTCTCAGTCGCGATGTTGAAGTCTTCCAGGATGGCGAACAAGTGTGCGAAAGTGGGGCGTTTGTTGGGGTTGGCATGCCAGCACTTGAGCATCACCTCACCATATAGCTTCTCGGGACACTCTTGTGGTCGGGGCATCCTGTACCCATTGTTCACTTTGTCCAGCACCTCTTTGTTGGTCATCATCGGGTACGGAACCTTGCCTGGAAACACACATTCTTGTGTTACTATCAAGCTACGTAAGAAAACGCTGGTTCATTCTTTTTAAACCATCAATATGGCGTACACCAGTACTCTAAATTACTTTCGCAGATGGTAAAATTAGAATTCTAATGAATTTCATTCATCAGAAAAACCTTGCTCATATAAGCTTTATAATACCCGTTTGAAGCTTCGATATATTAATTTTCCTTTGAAGCTTCGATATGTTAATTTTTATCGCTACACTATCATGACATAGCGTTGAGAAAAACCACATATGTGGCACAGAAAAGGATGACAGAAAAACATGCCAACCTTTGGTGGCTATTTCGGCTAGTAGGATTCCAAAGCTCCACACGTCTGACTTGATTGTGAATCTGCCCATCAGAGCTGCCTCAGGGGCTGTCCATTTGATGGGGAACTTGTTGGCCTGAACAAAACAGCCAGCATATTTTTTTTTAGAACTATTTATCGCGATAGGAGCAAAATGCCCGCTGTTCAGCATCTAAAAAAATCTAGTTCTCAGAAAAAAATGTTGACATTCAACCCAACTTTTACATAATTTGCTTAATTTTCCGCAACCATTTGAAAAGATATTTGCATAAAATGTTTGATTTTTTTCCGGTGACACTAATGACCGGTTAACATCACTTACTTTGTTCTGTGCAGGCTCTTGGTCGTCATTCGTGTATCTTGCCAGTCCGAAGTCGGCTATCTTACACTCGTATTTGAAGCCGACTAGGACATTACGCGCAGCCAAGTCTCTGTGGATGTAGTTCTTGCTCTCCAGATACGCCATGCCTAGACAAATGAATCATAGTTAGTTATAGGTTATCTTAACTTATGTGCTTACTACTTATTATTATTTAGGCAAAAGCGTCGCTTTGTAAAAATGCTACACTCTCAAATTACCAGGTCCGCTGAAATTTAGTTAAGAGAGGGTATGAATTGTATCAAAAATATTATTTTTGTGGACAAACATTTGTGTTCTTGGAAACCTTTATTCGCTAACTAGTGTAAGCATGCATGTGTCTTCAGGATAGTGTTAGCGCATGCTGGTTAGAGGTCTCCTCGCACGAATGAAACCAGAAAAGAGCACGAATGAAACCAGAAAAGATTACCTTCGGCGATGTTTGCGGACATCTCAATCTGAGCTCGCATTGTGATATTCTTGCCCTCTCCGTCCTTCAGGAACTCCAATAAACTGCACTTCATCAGCTCAGTTATAATATACACTGGCTCTTCCTTCGTACATACACAGTGCAATTTCAGCAGATTCTTATGCTGTAATTCCTTCATGATGTTGGCCTCTTTCAGGAATGCCTCGGCCGACATCGAGTTCGGCTTCAGGGTTTTGATTGCCACTTCTACTGTTCCTCCGTCAAATTTAAGCTGCCCACTCCATACTTCTCCAAACTGACCATGACCTGAATGCAGAAAAAATAAGCATTTAATTTTGATTGCTTAAGTATATTAGCTTAGTTAAGCGAGCGGTTGGTTTCAAAAACAAGAGACAATTTTCAATTAACGCCAAATTTTGCTACCATCTAAAACATTAGAAAACAGTACAGTTGATCACAAATCAAAGGAAAAAATACAAAAAAACATCACACCATTAGACTATACCGTTTGTAATTATAATACAAAGAAGTTTAAATTCAAGATTGGGGAATTCAAATTCAACAGTTTAAAAGAAATAGACAGAAGTTTAATTTCAACACAGAGGTGAAGCTGAGCTTCAGGTCACTTGCGATACAAAAATGTATGACTATAATTTCCAGCCAATGAAAAGACAAATCAAAAACTGGAAAAAAAAATTCAAAAAAATAGTTTTTTATTGTCAAAAAAGGTTATAAAACATGCAAATCATACGAACCAAAGGTAAATGATTCAAGTGATTCAGTTAATTTAGGTGTAAACCGGAAAAAAACAATATATTCCCGTTTGATAACGCTTGCAAATCGCAAGCGCAACAAAACAATTTCGAAAAGAACAAAAAAATTTTTCAAGTATATAATTGTAACAGAGCATAAAAGCAAAAAGCAAACTCGCTTGGCAACCCAAATATATCCAGATTGATATCCATACGCTGTAAAAAATGTTCTGAGTATATAAAGAACCTTAAGCTCATATATTCCTGACTTCGAAAAAAGTCGATTTATTGCTTCAAAGAAACTAGTTGTGGTATAACAGCAGACAAACTTGAACTTTGGTAGAACAACGTTCTAACGTTTATTTCTGGTTTTTTTTTTAAAAAAAGAATATAGAATTACTTGGATTCAAACAATAGTGTGTTTTTTGTTCCGACTTTCAAAGAAAGTGAGGAATTTATTTTTTTTTTTAATTCAGACTTATTTTTACAAAAACTAAGAGCATATGGGTATCTTTGCTGTTTTTGGATTTCTTATGTTAAAATTCAATTCCATATTTTCTTTCTAATTTTTTGTTCAATTTGAATGATCGGAATGACGCATTTGACTTACAAATTTATATTAATTTTAAAAAGTTTTATACAGTTCGCCATGAGCCGGAATCCAACTACCAATGTAGAGAATACGATTATTATATCTCGCATCTAAGCGCATGGGATCGAGATACTAGCCACCAATAACGCGGATAAATACATGCTAAATTGCCAATGCTGTTGCTAAAACGGCAAACGCCATGAAAAAAAAAACAATTTTTCTGCTGACTGGATTGGGAAAGAGCAGACTCGTAATCTAACACAATGTTCGGAAACTTGGTTGCGAATGAATGGTGTAATAATGGACTAGAAAAAATCAATAGAAGTGAAAATATTTTTTCTCAAAACAAAACACAAAAAATAATCCTTTCAATTTGATTTACGGTATCTAACTGACGCAGAATTAGAAGAATATAATAATACGCATGTGTAAAGATCTGTACTAGGAAACATAGCCAACAGACAAAAAGAAAAGAGATGATGAACGCATTACAAAAGAGACAAGCAAACAGAAAAAACTCTGACATGTTTCTTTTAAAGTCAATTTTCGAATTACTAAGAGAAAAACATGGCCTTAATTCTCTTGGAGTTTCTAAAATAATTTATGATTGACACCTTTTTCTGATAAAATCAACCTAATTTGAGAAAACTGGATCAATAGGTAAAAATTTTACTCCGTTGGTAAATTTGAAAATTAAATTCCACGTTCCGAACTAGAAGTCGATAACGTAGTTTAAAAAATTCCAATTAATTTAGTAAAGCTAACTTAAAAGACAAAGACATTTTCCTGATTATTCTAAACCGTTCATATAACAGATGCCTGCCTGGTTGCTTTTGAAATATCGAAAATTTCTTGTAATGGTTACATTAATTGCAAATAATACGACGTGAAATGAATAGAATAAACAGCAGTTAAATAAACCTACAGCATTAGATCCGAAACCCAATGAGCTGAACAAAAATTCTTATTGTCAAGCTGTAGTACGCCCAAAGGTAGTTACAACCCAAACTTTTGAAGCATTTTTCTAGATTTTGCTTTTAGAAGACTGAAAATAACTGATTCTACTACTTTTTGTACCTGGATAGAGCAAATTGTCAATAATAAGAGACTAGCCTAGTTTCTTAAAGAAGGTGATCCTCTCTCGCGGGAACTCCCAATGGTCTGTGTGTGCAAGTGATGTAATCTGAGGAGCTGGCATCAGACATGGCTTAGTGAGAGCACAAACCAGCCCATCTGCATCTGTCTGATAATGTGCCACTAACTCCTTCAGGGTGGAGAACTTAATCTTGGCTGTTATGAAGTATTTATTGTCCTGCTCCTGCAGCTTGATTTTATAGTGCTTCACATTATCCATACATGCTGTCTTGTCGTCGCGCATCGACAGCGAGTACCCGGAGGCACAGGTCTCTCGTTTACGGATCAGGAAGGTTCCCGGGATGACTCCGGGGGCGTTTAGAAGCTGTTCAGCGTCTCTGCGCGAGATGGCGCCGAAGAACCAGTCATCACGCTCTGTATTTGAGAGGAAATTGGCGGGAACATAGCCTGTCTGGTTGTTTTTCAAACACGTCACCTGTTAAAACAATCAGGATTAAGTGGTAAAGTTTGTTTGTGAAATTATTGGCATCAGATACGGAGTTTGCACCATACATGATGCAAATTTTGAGCATTTTCCAACTATCAAAATTTAAAGCATATAACATAGTCAACAGACAGTTGGAAAAGAGTCAATGAACGCAAGTAAAAAGAAAAAAATACGGGCTTACTTGTTTGAAAAATCTCAACTTTCGAATTTCAAAGAAAACAATAGATGGCCTTAAAGCTCTTTGAATTTCAAGAAAAATTTATGATTGACACTTTTTTGACAAAATTAACCCAATTTGAGACAACTGGATTAATAGCTAAGACATTTTTTCGCCGGGAAATTCGATAATTAAATCCCCCCTTTGAAACTAGAGGTCGATCACGTTTTTTGCGACCTTTACACTATCGCTGTTCGATAGTACTTTTAACAACAAATTGAACTGAACTTAAAAATAAATAAAAAGTCACACCACGAAAAAGTATTTTTGAGCCTGAACAAATTTCAAGACTTTTCTTAGAAAAAAAAACGAAAAAAAATCATCACAACCTATATAAGAGTCTGAACTACGTTCATCGACTCTTAACTACGAAAAGATCACGTATATTTCATGAACTGCTTAAGATTGGTATTTCTTTCTTTAAGGTGACCCATTTAGAAAAAACTGGAACAAAAGGTTATTTTTTCCCGCTGATAATTCAGTCAACTATACTTTTGAAAAAAGTAGTCATTTCCGTTTTTTGAGACCTTACACTTTTGCTGTTCAATAGTGGATCTCGCCTTCCTTCAAACAAAGGAATTGAACTGAGCTTGAAAAGAAATTAAAAAACAAACTTGAGCGTGAACAATTTCTAAAACAGGCATAAAAATCATCACGACCCATATTACTTCTTTCTTTTACACTTAATCAAATCATTAAAAGTTTTGATTTTAACTCATTGCCTATTTTATTTATTTAAAAAGATAGTTCAGTGAAAGCAGTATGCAGAAACGGACACAACTTTTATACTATTTATAGAATAAGCCAGAGGCCGATCCAGTATTTTCAAGGGGGAGGGTTTCAAAAAATTTCGTCCTTTTTTTAGGTCGACCAAGACCAAACAGATTTTTTGAGCTCTCCCAAACAGATTTTTTGAGCTCTCCCCCCCGTAATGACCAATTGAGCTATCTCCCCCACCCAGCAAAAACGAAAAAACTCTTCAAAAAGACGTCAGCAAACGCAAGTATATGGATGATGTGTTTAAAGCACGCAATCAATTAACCGACTGAAGTTTATTTTATATGAGTATCGAAAAAAAATTTGAAAAAAAAAAATCGAAATTTATGAAAAAAAAAATTTTTTTTTTGCAAATTTTTGTTTTAGGGTCCATAGCCTCATCGAGGAAAGCAATTTACCAGGGTTGGTGCTCTAGTCTTGTATCTGAATAGCAAAAAACGGTTCTCAGCAGCACCTTAATATTGTACGCTAAAGCTTTTTGTCATTTTATGAAAGAAAAAAGTCGCTTTTTATGCCTGTTTTATTGATTCTTTTTTCAATCTGAATGAAACTTTTGAGCTTTTATATTGTAAATTTTGGCTTTCCACAGTCGTTGGAAAATATGTTTTATGATTTCAGGTCAATCAAACTATTTTCAAGTGGTTATAAACAAGTCTCAAGTACCTATTGATCTATCTCCCCCCCACGCGAGATGGGGGGGGGGGGAGATTGCTCAATTGATCCCAAATCAGTATAAAGTCCTCATTTTGACCAAATGCTTCGCACCCCAGGCAAATAGGGGAGCGAAAAACGTGTTTTTAGGCTAATTATGGATATTTTTGACCAAGTGTGCACTCCCCTTTAAAATTAGTATATATTGGCGCCCAATGCGCCTTTAGAAAACTTTCGGTCAGCCAAAATTGTATGTCCTAAAATAGTACTATACGGTGGACCCTTTGTGTCGAATCCTTGAGAGGGCGTCAGCCCCTTCCCCCCCCCCCCCCCCCCCCCCAAATCCGACCCTCGAATAGGCGTGAACTTACTTTCTGCCACTAATTAGTATGAACATGCAAAGGGAATTACCAATAACGCCACGTGGAGCAAAAGTGATTAATAACCGTCGCAAAATCTTGACTTTGAATTAAATATTTACAGTATTGTTACTACTATCTGTTGTTCCCTTCTGCAATATTCGTTAAATCTGGGCTAGGTACATTCCTGGCCAAGTAGCTTTGTTTAGACCTTTTCAGCACTGAAATTACATGAATAGTATCAACCAACCCAATATGGCAGTGAAATAATCTTTTGCAGCATTTGATCAGAAGTAAAGACCTCGATTTGATTGCGTCTAATTGGGCCACACTATACTTTGAGCATGAATCTTCACATCATTCCATAAACCCATAAACTAGAGACGAGATAGTCTTAATCATCTCATTTAGTACCAGTCTTCACATTTAGTACCAAAAGAAGAAACGCTTCTATAGTTGATATAATTGGCTATATTGTTTTTGCGAACAAAAATCGGATTTGATGTTTTTTTGAATTAATTCATCTATTTTAAACAATGGATCATGTTTATGAAATCAAAAGAAACCAGACTTTTCTTTTCAACTATCTACTGCGCTTTTTCAATTGCTTGCCGCTAGCTTTGTTTAAATTGTTCAGTTAAAATTCTTAATTCTCAAAAGTTAATGAAAGTGAATTTTCACTTTGAGTCGTGTGGGTTTTTCCCGGAAATTTATTCAGGCTGTTTTTGTTTTACTCATATTTTTGAAAGTGGATTAAAATTTTCAGATTTGCTAGAGACCTTTTGACCAAATTTTACCATATTGGGTTAGTTTTTATCCCAATTTGAATCACACAGAGGTGAAGATGACCTTCGGACCCCTTGCGATACAAACATGAATGACTAATGATTACAAGCAAATGAATTGAAATAAAACCTTCAAAAATCTTTTTTTTCGGAAGTTTCAAAAATTGAAAAAATAGAAAGAAAAATTCCTGGAACAAAATTAACGCGACCAATAAAATACCACAGAGGCGAAGCCGAGGTTTGCATCACTTGCGATAGAACACAGACATAAAAAACATGTTAAAAAAATAAAATGTTGCAAAAGACTAGGTGAACCAAAATCATCGTGTCTCGATAAAAAAAAACAAATGGGAAATGGGGACCCAGCTAAAAAAACGAGGTACGTTTTAAACATCGTACAACCTTGTTATAATGATGCCAGACAAATTGCGTGCAGAAAATAAAGAGTCCGCGTTTCTGCAAGAACAATTCTCGCAAGCGGTTCTTTCAATAGATAGAATGCAAAATCTCAGATTTGGGAGTGTAGTTCTCGAGAAAACAAAACAAAAAAAAATTTTGACTTTTCGGAGGGCCATATATTTGGGAGTCAAAAAATTGTGCATAGTTACATAAGCGCATAAGCAAACAAGGATAGCCGGTTTCTGTGCAAGTAGCACAGAATGTTCCGACCATGGTCTTTAGAAAACTCTGGTTTACAAAGTTTTTTTCCAAAGTAGTGTAGTTTTTTCTGCTTGGTGTGATAAAAGGATCTGACGTAAAAATATAATTTAGGCCCTTAATTTGTGTACAAAATAATTTAGCGTAGCCGCTTACGCAGGGCAATTTTTTCATTCCGTTTCATTCATTGAAACCAAAAACTTAGATTTGGAAGAAAAAGTTTTCGAGAAAACAAAAAAATCAAAAATATGGGTCAAATATTTCCCCACAGACTTTGTCGAAGGCTGTAGATATAGGGGTAAAATAGAAAGAGACTATGGGAGTACGCAAGCACACAGGGGAGCAGGCGGTCTTTCCACTGAAAACCCTTTTTTGAAAATCATAAGAAGTTTCTGAAAAAAACCAAAAATTGGCAAAACATTTTTAAAAATTCAAAATGAAAAAATCGAAATTCAACAAACCGAGTGATAAACATACAACCAACTCAAAATTAGGTCACTAAGCCGATAAAAATTAGGCCGAATAAAATTGTCCCGAAGAAAGTATTTAAGCAAAACAAAAACAAAGAAGGAAATACGAAGTGCAAAATGCAAGAGTAAAATGCAAAAACTGCAAAATGCAAAAACTGCAAAATGCAAGAGTAAATCAACCATTTGAAGCAACATTCGTTAAAATGCGCGCAGCCGAAAAAACGACACCAAGATGTGACTACTAAGCCGAAAAAAGATATGCAGACAAAAAATGGCCGACAACTTTATTTGAAACAACTTTTCCCGTTGGAAAAAAATGTCCTGGTCAGATTCGAACCCACGACCTTTGCCATCACAGAAATATTAGTTACCTCCGAGTTATGTCGGCTGGGAACGCTAAAAAACTTGAATACATTATGAAACAAAGTACTACTAGAGATTCCAGAAAAGTCCTGTGAACAAAGTTGATTACGGAAAAAGTCTAGTACCTGATTGCAAAACCCTTGCTTATCGCAAGGTTAAAAATTGTTTTCAATATGCTAAAAAGAAAGCGAACTTTTCTAAAGGACCTAAGCCGACAAAAATAAGCAGACAATAATGGAAAACTAAGTTTCCACAAAACAAACAGGTCCCGGCTGGATTCGAACTTCCGGGATTAGTCATCTCAATCATGGGTGATACCACTGCACAGAACAATCCTTGAATTTTAAAAGAAGTTAACTTCCAGTAGTTAGCTTCCAGCAGAAGTTAAAAAAATTAACTTCCAGCTGTTTTTTAAAAAGCTTTTTGGAACTCAATTATTGCCCAAAACCGGAACACACTGAAAGGATTTGTACAAAAGCCTTAGTTTTAAGCAAGATTGGTGTTGCGACTACTGCGCCGATAAAAAAGAATCAGACAAACAGAAGTCTGACAAAGATTTTTTGACGCGCAGACAATTTTCCATTTAGAAAAAAAAGGTCCTGGTCGGATTCGAACCATTGACCCTCGTCTAACTAGTTAAGCCGCAAAAAAAAAGAAAAACCGCAAGCGTAATAAAACAATTTTAAAATCCAAAGAGCCATAAGGTGTTTAAGAAACTAAAAAATTAATAAGCAATTTCAAGATTTTTTTCCTGGAAAATCTACTCGACCTAAAAACGAAAATTAGCTCATTACGCAACTCGTCGTTCAACCGAAGCAAAAAAAAAATTGACCCAAAAGTGGCCGCAAGCAATTTAAAAAAACTCAGTTAATTGTAAAAATTCTTACTTTGACAAGTAAAAAAAAGAAGAATACCAATCTGGCTTTGTTGAGATTCGAGCCCTAGACTTCCTGGTATAAATCAGATCCTGATCCATTTTTATTTTTTTTATTGAAAAGAGTACAAAAGAAGATTCTCAGTTTATAAATACACTAAGCTTTCGCTCTGCTTGCGTATTAACGCATTACCTGCCACCAGGGTCCGTCGGCTTTCAGCACCAGGAATTTGTCGCCCTTCTCGAAAGAAAGTTCTCCAGGGTCCAGCGCATGATGGGGGTAAATGGCTGTGTATACACTGCTGCGCTCGCTGGCCGAGCTGCCCTGTGGTCTGGGAGGTGGTGGGGGCTGTTGGTGCTGCTGCTGATGTTGCGAGGACGGATGATGTCCCTGCTGAAAGGCAACACCAAAATTGCAATTCGTTACAACAAATAGCACATCGATTTAAATGAAAGCTAAGCAAAATTAACCTGAATTTTTACGGCTTCACTGAAGAGATACACAATGTTCAATATCAATTGAACTGGTTTCTGTTTTTAATTAAGCTTATTTTGTCGGCTCCTCAACTTCTCCCGTATTAATTTGACTATAAATTTTATTTGATTGTTTTTTAAACAATTGATGTGTGGAAACCCAATATAATTCAATTAAGAACTAAAAGCTACCCGTAAACAAAAAACTTTATCAAAATTTTATGATCAGAAGAGCACTTTTATATAATAACGAGTCCAGATCATTGCGTAAGAGAGACTACTGATAATACTAGTTACAGTCAAATTGAGTGCATCACATGGAGATGCTGAACTTCGCAAACACAAGCGAGAAAACTGCCAAAAAGTAGGTTTGAAAATTTTAAAATGTGAAATAAAGAAAGGAAAAAGTAAAAATGAGCCTTGGAACAACATTTGCTATGAGCCGGACTCGAAATATTTAGAGCCTCGCGTCCTTGCATCTGTGCCAGGATCACTTGGAAATATGCAAATGAGTATTTTTATTTGCGGGTTGAAAAATATGAATTCGTAAAATCATACTAAGCACACTAGTGTACTCAGGGAACTATATGCATTAATAGCCCCAAATTGTCGAAATTTACGATTAAAAAACTTACATTGGAAGGCAGTTGGCGTGGTGCTATTGGCGTTGCATTTGCATGTGGGGAGAAATAGTCTCCCCCTCCCCCATTCCCACCTGCGCCTACACCGCCCATACCGTTGTAGCTGTTTATATTGAACTGTGAGCCATGGTGGGACCCACCTCCTTGCATCATATGAGACTGCTGCATGTTATAAGGATTGGGGACTGACATTTTTGGGTGCACATTGTATTGGTTATGTGGGTGATTCATCCCACTCCCGTCCATAGCACCTCCTCCACCGCCATGCATTGACTGCTGTTGTGTGTAGGGATTGTAACCACTACCACCTCTGTTGCCTCCGGCCATACCCTGGATGGTTGTTAAATTCAATAAATGATTTTGAAAACAAAGACACCATTTGCATGACAGCTCACTATCATCAGAATCTTCCAGAATGAGTTAAGCAACCCATATCAAGTACAGAACTTAGGCTGTTCTTTCAAGTTTCTTCCGCAACGGTTGATAAGTATCGATGAAACAACTTGTTTTGCGCAACTTGTTTCCAAGGCATCAAAAAACATTTTATTAGGATGCACAACATCCAACATACTTCAGCCGCCAAACCATCCTGCTGTTATATTCGGTTTAAATTTTTCAACCTGCGTACAATCATGAAAAAAAAATCTGTACAAACCTGTGACAAAGTGCCCATCATAGAGGGACCATAAGCTGATTGTTGCATTCCATACGTGGTGTGAGGGTCATATGGAGTATATCTATTTTGATTTGGCTGAGGGATTGGGTTATATCGGCTTGCATTGGCAGGCATGTGGGGTTGATTTTTTCCGCCATTGGCATGCTTCGATCCAACGCACCCCATAGCAACTCCCGCACAATTCGCTAAATACCAGGGTCCAATTGAGGTTTAATTTATTGGTCAGACATAACTCTTAGTTCAAAGTCATCTTCGCAATTAAGAGTAGGTCATTTCTCTACGAGCATGTAATCTTTCTTTAACATTTGTGCCTGGAATAATAACCATTATTAGGATATAGCTACTTGAGACCCAAAAAGTCCTTAGAAACAGAAAAAAAATGAAAGTCGCGAAGAGATAAAACAAACTAAAACAGTCAGTAGGACGTGGTACTAAATGAGGAGCTGAAAGTTGATAGAATGTAATGACAGCCCGAAGTGCTCAGTTTTAACCAGATTGAGAAAACTAGAACTTGCACAAAAAACGAAGATAAAAGAAACTCAAAAAGATTGCCAATGGTATCAGGCTACGGGTCTATGAGATATTAAAACTAAGCTGTGTTTCCATGATTTTAGCCTAATTGTTGTGATAAACTTATTAAATAGATTTGTTATGTTTGATGTTTGTGCCTGTATGTGGAGCGCCCTCTGAGGGATTTTAGAGACAGGTCTGTCAAGTGGCTTTCTGTGGGGAGGTGGGGAACTGGAACTGGCTTGAGGAGTCTGGTGGTGCGCCGCTGGACCTACTGAGCTCGGGTGGGATTGTTCCTTGTTTTTGATTTTTATAATTCGATTTTAAATTTAAATAAATTTATTATTTTTTTTTAATTGCTGATTTGTAAAATTCCCACTAACCGCTTATCATGGGTTAGTTCAGTCCCCTAAAGTCCAGTTAAAATCTTTTTTTAACTTTATGCTGCGTCAAGATGAGGAAAAACAGCAAAGAGTGTAAAAGCAAAGAGTGCTTAAAAGCTTCAGGACTGATAAATTGGATTAGATGTGATTGTTGTTCTAGTTGGTATCATATCAGTTGTGTAAATATTTCTCTTAGCGACTCTAAGAAAACCCAATGGTTCCAGTGTCCTTTATGCGTTGATGTAAAATCTGTTAATAAAGCAACAATAGGTAATGATTTAGTGCTAGACAATTATGTTAATACAGCCATCTCAAATGTCCGAGTACTCAAGAGAGTACCAAAAGACTCGCGTGTTCCCTTGGCGGAAAGTCTGTCGGACAAAATAAATGACATCGTCTACAATGTAGAAGATGTTACAAAATGGCTAATTTTTTTAACGTCGTTCTTGTTTTTTTTGGAGCAACCGGAAAGAAGTGGACGCAAACAGACCACAAGCATGAGCTCTTTGATAAATAAAAAAATTCGAGCAAATGACGTGTCACTTCCAAAACCCCATTCCCAAGTTTCAAGCCCGCCTCTGAGTGACCTCGAGCAGAGAATAAAGTTAATAGGTAGTAAGCTCGATGAAGGAAATGTAAAGGGAGGAATAAGGCTTGCTGCTTCGGATGACAAAATAGCTCCTTTTTCAACTGATAACTATCAAAAATTGTTGTCTAAGCACCCGCAGCTCCAAATCCAGAAAAGTTGGAAAGTTTTTTCGTAACCGATTTCGACCTATACAAAGCGATAATGTCCTTTCCAAACGGATCAGCAGCAGGTCCTGATAAAATAGTTCCTCAAACTTTTAAAGATCTTGTTAGTAAGTCGAATGGCAGTCCAGGACTTAATTTACTGAAATCGCTTACTAAGCTGATAAACCTCATTGGAGATGGCAAAATACCCGAACCACTAAGACCTTTCTTTTTTGGTGCAACGCTTATCGCGCTCATAAAGATAGACGGAGGGTTGAGACCGATTGCCATAGGCAACACGCTGAGACGTATCGCGTCTAAATGCGCTGGAAGCAAGGCCCTCTCCGAGCGACAAAATTTTTTCGGAAACGTACAGGTAGGATGCGGTACCAAACGAGGAGCAGAAGTAGCTGCGCACTCCTTTCGAAACCTAATTGAACGCGACGACAATCCAAAATGCACTGTTCTTTTAAAACTAGATTTTAAAAATGCCTTTAACTCTTTAAACAGAGAAACAATGCTGAATCATGTTTATTCAAATCGCCCCGAATTGTATAATTATACCCATTGCGCGTATGGTAAACCTAGTTACCTTTTTTAGGGAAGCTCTGTCATAATGTCAGAAGACGGAACTCAGCAAGGTGATCCTGAAGCCCCACCCCTTTTTGCGGAAACAATTCATACACTAGTCAAACAGTTGGAGTCGAAAAATAAGATCTGGTATTTAGATGATGGGAATTTAGCCGAAGACTATAAGGTAGTACTCCGGGACCTTAAAAACATTCTGAAATTGGAACAAATATACGGCCTGAGCTTAAACACCGAGAAGTGTGAACTTTGTTTTTTGGGACCGACTACTAGTACACAGTATAATTCAATTTTAACACTATTTCGAAAAATATGCCCCAAAATAAAAATAAAAACAAAAGAAGAACTCCTCATTTAAGGATCGCCAATCGGCGAACTTTGCCGAAAAGCATTGCTCGACGAAAAAATTAAGGAGCTTGAAAAAATCTCGGATGTCATTGACAAACTAGACGCCCATTATGGTTTTTACCTCCTGAAAAATTGCTTTAGCATGCCAAAACTCCTATATTTTTTGCGTACGAGCCCTTGTTTTTTGCAAAATGATTTTTTGGAACGCTACGATAAATTACTAAGAAATTCGTTATGCAAGGTCACTAACGTGAAAATGGATGATAACCAGTTTTTACAAGCAGTTCTCCCGGCAGCCAAAGATGGCTTGGGCGTTTCTTCCGCTCGTCTACTCGCTTTACCCGCTTTCTTAGCCTCAGCAGTAGGGGCGAAAGATGCCTTGAGCGAAATCTTTGGTTTGGAGCATGTGGATGGAACTTATGATGATGCGCTTAAACGGTGGTTTGACCTTGGAAAAATTGAAATGGCTCCGGAAAATGAAATCCAAAAAAATTGGACGGAGCCAATTTTTGACAGCGAAATTGCAGACTTGATTTTACGACTCGAATCAACGGACGTAAGAAGGTTCAACACGTTCCAAGATAGATTTGGCTCCCAATGGTTGAACGTCATCCCATGCAAAAATTTAAGGTTAAAACTGTCGAACCAACAACTCAGAATTGCGATAGGACTTCGATTAGGATCAAAAATATGCGAACGGCATAAATGCGTGTGCGGAAAAGACGTTACCGAGGATGGTTGGCATGGTCTTTTTTGCCTCAAAAGTGCAGGGAGATTCTCTAGGCATTCATACCTGAATGCCCTTATAAAGCAGAGTCTATTATCTACTCACATTCCGTCTGTTTTAGAACCACGACACCTCTACAGGACCGATCAGAAGCGACCAGACGGTTTGAAGCTCGTTCCATAGGCTGATGGTAAGCAGCTCTTGTGGGATGTAACGGTAGTAGACTCCTTAGCTCCTTGTAGGATTAATGCCGGGTCTGTTTGTAACCCTGGTACGGCTGCCGCTGAAGCGGAAGAGCAAAAAATTGACAAGTATAAAGATCTTGTAAATGATGGACATCTTTTTCAACCGCTAGCTTTTGAAATTCAGGAGGCGGCCGGCCCTAGCACAGAAGTTTTTTTGAGCAAGCTTTGTAAGAACCTAAGCATATGCACTGAGGAACCCAGAGCAGGCAGCTTTTTAAAACAGAGAATCTCCCTGGCAATACAGATTGCGAACGCCGCTTGCGTACTCGGAACAATAAATGACAAAATAACTTTCGACGAAATTTTTTTTATTTGTAACACTTGTATATTATGTTATCTCGTGTCGAGTTGCGTGTTCTTATTGAAGAAACGTAACCCGTATCGATTTTAATTGAAAAGGACTTAAACACTTGTCATCTTTTTTTATCATTATCACTTCCATATCTAGAAAATTCCAAGGATTTTGACTGGAATACATGATGAAGGGACTCATGACTGTAACCTCGGTTACTAAGATACTTTTGACCTTCTGATTAGCTGTGTTAACGTTCCCTTGACTCTATAAAAAAAATTCGGAAGTAGTTCTTTCGAAAAAAAGGCCGAATATACAGGCAGCGTTCGCAAGCTGTATTTTCATTGGTAGTCAGGTCAAAAGTATCATGGTAACCGACGTTACAGTCAGGAGTCCCTTCAACGTATATTCCAGTCAAAACCCTGGGAATTTTCCAGATATGGAAATGATAATGATAAAAAGGAGATGATTAGTGCTTATGTGTTGAAAATTAAACTCGATACGGGTTACGTTTCTTCAATAGAACACGCAACACGACACGAGAAAATATATATAAATTAATATTGTATTACAAAAAAAACCTCAAAAGTTGTTTTTGTCATTTATTTTGCCGAGTACGCAAGCGGCGTTCGCAATCTGTATTGTCAGCGAGAATCTCTGTTTCAAAAAGCTGCCTGAATCTCAAAAGCTAGCGAGTAGAAAAGATATGCATCAACTACTAAGTCCTAAATTATCATTGGTTCCCTCTTCCGCGAGCGCCGCACCAGGGTTACAAGCCGACCCCGCACTAATCCTACTGGGGATCTAACGGTAATACTCCTTTAGCCCCCTATTGAGGGTTAAAGGAGTATATTACCGTTACATCCCAGAGGAGCTGCTTACCAACAGAATCCTATCTCAATTCTTACTCGTTGGTTTGATAGTTTTAAGCATAGATTTTTACACGCGATGACGTTCAACCATTGGGAGCCAAATTTATCTTAGAAAGCCTTGAATCTTTTTACGTCTCTTTTTTTGTTTTTTTTTCTTATTCTTTTTATATTCTTTTAAAGGTAATCAGGAGGTCAAAAGTATCATAGTAGCCGAGGTAACAAGCAGGAAACCCTTCATCACGTATTCCAGTCAAAATCCTTAGAATTTTCTAGATATGGAAGTGATAATGATAAAAAAACATGACAAGTGTTGATGTCCTTACAATTAAAATCGATACGGGTTAAGTTCCTTCAATATGAACACGCAACTCGATACGAGAAAATATAATATACAAGTCTTAAAAATAAAAAATTTCATCGAAATTTATTTTGTCATTTGTTGTTCCGAGTACGCAGGCGGCGTTCTCAATCTGTATTGCCAGGAAGATTCTCTGTTTTAAAAATCTGCCTGCTCTGGGTTCCTCAGTGCATATGCTTAGGTTCTTACAAAGCTTGCTCAAAAAATTTTTTTTGCTGGGGCCGGCCGCGCCCTGAATCTCAAAAGCTAGCG